AAAACAAATATACGCGATTTAAATCCGGAAAAATAGTTTCATTTCCTATGTGTAACAATCGCGAAAACCTAAGAACTCGAAATGTAATAAACTTTAACGTCAATTTATTTCAATTAATTACGAACTATCGCTTTGTTATCGTAACTCCTACCCTTGACATAATAACGCCACCTGTGATCATCATACCTCAAAAGTGTTTTTATCACATGAAAGTCATAAAAATAATACAAACTATCTATGTGAAACAAATTATGTTTATATAAAATTTCGGTACCTCCAATAACCACTACGTCAACTTAATTTCATGGTCATTTTCTGTTTTTAATGTAAACATCCTTATTTTATGTACTAATATTATTATTTAAAAAAATAAAGAAACAAAAACACGAAATTAAAAAAGTATTATCTGAAAAAGAATAAAGAAACAAAAAAAAACAAAAGACACCAGAGATGACCAAACATTTAAGCTGGCGTAGTGTATTTTCGTTCTTAGAATCTTGAAACCTTTCACCTGAAAGTTGTCATTTTGAAGTTGGCCTTATTACGCTAAGGGTGCTAAACAAACGTAATATGGGAAAAGAATATGGCTTTGAAACCTATAGTCAAAGGCAGGACATTGTGCCATCGGTCCTCATGCAGAGGAGGATGACCACTTTTCCCTTCTGAATGGCGAAACTTATTCTCTAACGGAATAGGCAGCCAGCCATCGGTCACCGGAAGCTTCACTGAATTGAAAGCTCCTTAGCGAGAAGTTTGTACTATATTTGTGAAGTTTATTTAAATACCTAATGTATCAACCAATATTTAACTTATCATATTCAATACTCAATAAGAAATTATTACTCTCCATGAGTACGGTAGATGTTACGAATATTTTAAGTACGTTATTATCCCAGTAGGACGTGACAATAAGTAAGAGAAATGCTTTCATAGATTTCTCACTCGGTGCTACGGAAAAACAGAAAAAACCAAAAATTAGATCCGACAACAAACATATAGAAAAATTCGTAGCGTCTGACACGGTTGGCTGGAATCGAAGGATTTTTTCTAAGTGTTCGATCTTTCTATTAATAATAATATCTAAGAGTTAGTTACTAATATTTTCTTTTTTAACCGACTTAAAAAAGCGGAGGAACCCATTAAGGCATTTCTTTGATTTTCTTTCCTTGGCTGGCTCCGACTTCAAAAATAACTGATTAGATATCGTAAATACTTAAGTATCAATATTTTTTTAATGGTAAAGTAAAACTTCAACCCGAGCAGTAGGTAGCACATACCAATAATAATATTTTATTTTTCGCTTTTTAGTGTAGTGACATTTTGTGATTTTTGAAGTTGGTTGATTTTTTATAATCGCATATAAAAAGCTTACAGCGTTGATAAAATAGGTAAGCTGGCAGTCACGGACCACATACATGGGTGGCAGTACCTCTCTGGACGAATTCTTTCATAAGGATCTCTATTGCTGCTAAAATATAACAAAATAGAGATGGATTTTATTTTGTAAAATTAAATCAAATACTACAATAAAATAAAATCATTTCAGCCGTGAAATTGAATAAAAACACATATACCCTTCAGAGTTCAACGTAAGTAAAATTATTCATTGGAATTACGTAGAAGCTCATACATTATTCTACAAAGTCCCGTTTTGTTCAGACCCCTGCAATTGGGTAGCTGAGTAAATTCGATATACCTTTGGGTTAGATTGTGTCACACCGTCATGTAATATGAGAATAAAGACAATTTTTTGGGAAAGGTTGCGATTGGAATTACGCAACCGCACCTTTGTTCGTTCAAATAAAATATAGCTATTTTTACGTTCAACAGGCTTGGCGAAAGGACCGGTGCAGCGGCCTCCCGTACTCCAGCTTCTTTCACACGGCAGATGAGCATGATGAGCCTTTTTACAATTTGACAATGTAATGTTTTATTTGTCTCATTTTATTTTTAATGCCTTTCATTAAATTTGTTATTTTTCACTATACAAATAGAAAATAATCACACTTAATATATATATATATAATTGATAAATATGTGACAACATATTATATAATTGATAATTGTGAAATAAATACACAAATTCATTGTTAATTTTGAAATAAATATGTTATAAATATGGTACGATTTACCATAAAAACACACACATACAAAGGAAAGGAGAGGACAAAAAGAATAAAAAAAAGATACTACACTAATTACTTGTATAAAATTAACGGATCTCAAAATAAGGAATTCCCTATGAGTACCAGAGCAACACAATTCACTCCGTGGCACTACTGGAGGAGTTCGTCCAGGCAAGTACTGCTACCTTACCTATTTCTGCCGCCAAGCAATGCTCACATTACTGCGTTTCAGTTTTTTGAAAGAAAGAAGATTGGTGAAAGCCACATGGGACTTGTCAACTTGTTTCAGGGTGACGGACGCAATGACGGTCCCCTCAGATCTTCATGATTTTAAAGCTCTGAGGGGCACGGCAACTAATATGAATAGGTGTGTCGCTTACCACCAGGCGCACGACATGTTCATCCCGTCACATGGTGTCATAAAAAAAAACTCGGAACACCCATACAACGACAACCAATTTAGAAAAGTTTTTTTCAAAAATTGGTCGTAATAGGAACCGAAAACGAAACCTCTCCATCTAATGCCCGTAGTGCAAATCACCAGGGCTGTCAATGAAATAATTATAGAATGACAAACCATCGCCGCGAAACGAACTGTTTTTTTTTTGACGGGGGGAAATGAGTCTCTCAGTGGTCATAGTTATGTGGGGACTCTCCCTCCAGACTGGAGAGCGTACCCCACTAAAAAACCCTCGGGTTTACCTCTTGCCGGTTGAGTCGACGCCGTGGGATAGGTGAACATTCACCACGACGCCGCCCGGCCGTCCTAGCTTACACGTTGGCGCGGGAGTCTCAATCCAGAGCCGCTGACCTCACTAGGGAATCAGGCGAGTAGCGAGAGAAAGCAGTTGCCTTCGCCTTCTCCTCGTACGTCTGCGCCGAAGCGGGTGTGCGTCCGCCGCGACCTCGCGCACCCGCTCCGCAGCCTCCTTTTGCGGCATAATCTCTTCGCAAAAGGAGACCACCGCCTCACAGGACTCCTCGCTATCGAGCATGGTGACAACCACGCCCTTCAGCGAAAGGTCCTGCCCTATTGTCCCCGTCAGAGTACGACGCTGCTTATCTGCCACCCACCGGCTGCACACCTCTAGGGTGTGCTGCGTGGTGTCATCCGCTGCACCGCACTCGTGCCACGACGGAGACGGTTTCCTCCTTGCCACCTTGTGCAGGTAGTGACAGAAGCAACCGTGCACGGTCAGCACCTGCACAAGGTGGTACCGCGAAATGATTATTCGCGGTACCACCTATTTTTCTGCCTATTTTTCGCTATGAATTGATTCATGCACCACTACGGACGCGTCTACGTTGCCACAGACCAGATGATCCTATTTCTTTTGTGTGCGGGTGCGAGCTAGTGCGAGGTAATCGGTAAAATCACGGAACGTGTGAAGCCGCCTTGAAGCGCAGGCTACACTGCGAATGAAGCTAAGAAACCAAGTATGCCAGTTGAGCTAACTTAGCCTAGCTTAGCTCACGTAGTTACATGCAAAGTTAAGCTAAGAAAATATATAGGAAATGGTGACGTGCTACACTATGGACACGTGTGGGGCCGCAGGGTAAATGGCGGCAGAAAGGCGACATATTTTACATAGCTTAGCGGGATCGTTGGGTTAGTTAAGTTAGCTTTGATCGGTTTTAATATTTAAATTGTTATAACAATTTATAACAAACTTTATTCATTTATAAATAAATGATACGGTAGCTAAAGAAGTTTTGTAAAGTTATTTAAAAGTAAACATATTTAAAAAATCTCTATTCTATTCGAATTTTTTCTTTATATGAAACCTGGTGGAAAGTGACGATGAGGCCCACGATGGAGCATGCACAACCAAATAATGTCTATTCACTCTCGCCTTGAACAGGTCCAAGTTATTAAGTTCAGTGAATAATTCTGCATGTAGAGACTCCACTTCGTAGCCATTTGCCAAATAAATGTAGAAGCAAAACGCTTCGTCCGAATTCTTGGAATATCCACAATATTGGTGTGGAACCTCAGCCTACGTCTAGTCCTCCAACGAAGGAAAGGGAAAGCGGAATTAAATCATGCAATACCATTGCACTCTCCGTGATAATTAATATTTAACCTATAGAAAACCGGTAAGCAGGCAACTTTACGGCGGTGTTCAAGGCTCTGGATTACATTTTTTGAGACAAGGTGGTAACTATTTCGCACTAATGAATTAGGTATTAAGTCAGCTGTACAGTCTTCTAAAAACATCATATGCTCTTTATGTAATAGCACAAGTGTGCCAAATACAGTATCTTTCCAAGACAGTTCATCACAGCAATCAAAGCTCTTGCAAAGGATATTATTTTCTCTCACACAGGACACATATCGAAGGGCATAATTCATTTGCGCAAGCTCACTCACGATGTAAATCAACCGTGTGGACGGTCCTTAATGCTTTGAGTTTCAGTTTGCTGCCACTGTCTCATACTTTTTGTACACATTCTATTGAATAAAGGAATAGCTAAAGTAGCGCGATTTGGTGTGCAACATAGAGATTGTCTCGTAAAATAAATACACCCTTTGCCGAAATCGGATTTTGAGTGTAGCTTAAAAAAGTAGTTCTGCTTGGTTTGACAAAGAAATGGTACATTTACGAGTTGCATTGGTTCAATTGCAATTTACAATTCGGTTCACACTGTCCCAACTGCTACAGAAGATACCTAGAGTTATGTTATGTTAATAATAGGTAAGATGCTAGCTAATGTAATTAAGTATTCATGTTTTGTTATTATTATGAATAAAGAGATCGGACACACAGAAAAAATTTCGTTGACGCGGTTGGAATTGAACCCGCGACCATTCTGCACCGTAAAATTGCTCTAACCATCTGAGACACGTCTGTCCATAGTAGTTGCAGTGCCATTTAAAACTTTAATTTACAAAGACCTAAGGGACACTGCCAATGCGCCTGTGACCCTGAGACATAAGTTTTTAAGTTCCCTGTGCCTGTGATTATAATAGCGCCCTTTAGAACCGGAACACAGCAATGCAATTACTGCGTGGCGGCAGAAATAGGTAATGTGGCAGTACTTCCTGGACGAACATTATTATTATTTATATTATTATTATTATATTTGTTCAACTTTGAACATTATGTACTTAACAACAAAACGCAAGATCGTAACATATATTTAAACTGTCACAAGAAATGGCCTCATCATCAGGTAACAAGTGCAACATTGTGACATAATTCACTACTTCACAGAAAAGAGCTTCGTCGGCAACCAACACACATACCACACTAAGAAAAACCTATCATTATGTATTAGTCATAAAAATTGTATAAATAGTAATAAAATTTGTAAATATACTCAGTTATCTACTACCATCTGATTTTAACTCATCAAACTCATCATCCTGCTTAGTACTACCCGCTACTCCTCTCACCGTGGCCAAGACACCTTTAGCCATCAGTAGATCGGTCTTGTGAGTCTGTTTGACCGGCAGTGAGAATACCATTCCAGTACACATTGCACGACGTGTACTTCCTTACCTCCTTCCAACCTTCCGTTTGTCACCTTAGTTCTCATGGTGACAGACTTCCCGTTCATATCTTGCGTATATATTTCTCCGTCTATATATTTATGGTTAGGTTAGGCTACACACCGTTAGGTTGTAGGGCTACACTATTAGATAAATTCATTGGAACGACCCTTGAGGTCTCACCGTTAGGGTTAATAGGGTAGTTTATATTTTTTATCTTAACTTTACCATAATTTCATACACAGCGGGCGATTGATATTTGCTGCATACAACACCACACACTACATTGTCAGACAAGCACTACCACCACATTAATACCTAACCGCACGTTGTTCAATATTATTAGTATTTATCCTGTTATAAGTCCAAAATCCTAATCCTTGTCACTCACCATATAAGCCACATTAACATGAAGGATAACGAAGAGAGAACGTCTGCTCAATAATAGTTTCTTTTAGAACGTTTTCATTAAAAAAAAAAAACTGACCTCAAAAGTTTTCTTATCGGCTTTTTTCGATTTACATGGGTTCCCCTTATCAGATTGACTGACTTTTTGGTGACAGTGGGACTGTTATAGACTCCTTTGTACATTTTATATTTTATTATCTGGTTGTCATGGTGACGAGGTTTTGTTGATTACATGTATTGTATCAAGTAAAAGTCGACTTTTATTTGCGGAAAATTATTAGAGGGTATATTCTCGGGACCACGCCGACCCTTTTAAACAAAAAAAAAATTTCAAAATCCGTGCACAATTGATGGAGAACTTGGCGAATACACGGGCAATGGCGTATAAAATGTGAGGATTTCCTTCGATTTTCATGGGATCCCCTCATCAGATTCTGACTTGGTGACAATGGGACCACCACGAGAGTGCACCCTTTCAAACAAAAAAGAATGTTCAACATCGGTCCACAATTGATGGAAATATATGAAAACATACATATAGCCGAACGTATAATCTCCTCCTTTTTTTAAAGTCGATTATTTAAAAACAACTCTTAATTGGCTGGGAGCGATGTTTAGTTCCTACTCGTATAACAAAGTTATTAGGTAATTCATAGTTACAAAATACTACTGTGTTATCGGAATTCATTTTATAGTTCCATAACAATAATACTTTGTTATGTTATCTAAACACCTCAGCCGGCACTCGGCAAACAACATTTATTTAGTGGTCTAACAGTGGTCTGATACAAGATTTTAAACATTTCCCGTCTATACCCTCGGGACACAAGTAGCAGTACTGCTTGCTACCTTACCTATTTCTACCGCCATTGCAGGCACATGGGACTTATCAACTTATGTCTCAGGATATCGGGCGCAGTGGCAGTGCCCCTCAGTTCTTTGTGATTTAAAGCTCTAAGTGGCACTGCAACTGTTAGGGACAGGCGTGTCGCTTACCACCAGACACACGACTTGTTCGTCCCGTCACTTAGTATTATAGAAAAAAAAGAAAAACGTGTTCATCTAAATACGCAACACAAGTATCTTCTTTCGACTCGATCATTTATTATCGCCCTTTGGAGTCGAATCTGTTGGACCCCACGAAATCATAAACCAAAAAAATTATGAACCGAACGGATCCACAGAGGCTGGCTATCTTGCACAATGTATCAGCATAGTCATACAAACAGAAAACGCTGCCAGTATTTTGAGCACCCCGTTAAAGGGATCCAATTTATTTATCAAATGGATGTAATTTAAAGTAAGGGTTAAACTTTAAGAGGATAATTTCGCGAACGCGCTATATACAAATAAATTTCATCCTATTTAATATACTAACTATTCAACTCAATGGCACTTTAACAACAAACAACAAGGGTCGTAGTTAGTTTCCTGACAAATTATACAGTTTTAATATTATACCAATTCAAAATTTAGTAATTATGGACCTAGTTTCATATATGATTAAGGACATATTATTCAATAAAAAATTAAGGTGAATTTATAAAAAAAAATAGAATTTGTTATAATTATTAATACAAAGATCGAACACTCAGAAAAAGATTTCTCATAGATGGCGTTACGGCTAAAAGGTCGTTGAAAAACCAAACACAAAGATACGACAACAAACACATAGAGAAATTCATGAGATTCGCTGGTTCGTTCTGTGGCTTCGTTGGTATAGCGTCTGCCACGGTATGCTAGAAGCCGTCTAGAAGGACTTTTTCTGAGTGTTCGATCTTTGTATTAATAATTATAACAAACTAGTGGAGTAATTTAACATAAAAAACAATTGAAATTCAATTTAAAAAAAAGTTTAAAAATAGAATTTGTTAATCACTTGTACATGGTCTATGCTTGTACCACTCAAACGATATAAGTAACTGGCAAGACGATGGCAAGGCAATAATTATTATATGTAAATGTCTGTGCTTTAAATGGTAGATAGAGATTATTTATACGGTATACCATTTCTTGATTTGCATCTTTGAAGTATTAAGTACTATTTGTGTTTTTGATGTATTCATCACTGACTTTTGGCTATTTCTTTACGGACATTCTTTCAATCGAACCCGAGAATTATTAGCTATAGTGACAGCTGTCAAATCACGACAATGCACGTTTCGTCGAACGCAGTATCGCTTATTTTTATAATTGTGAAATTACATTATTCAACAATTTCTATTAAAAACTGGTTCTAAAATCCATCACTAGATGTCACTATACACACGCGTCGAATGTGGAAAGCCAGAACAAAGATTTATAGATCTATAACAAAAATACAGAAGAATTTCGTCAACAACGTGTCCATGGGTTCAAGTCCCATCGAGTCGAAGAAATTTTTCTATCTGTTCGATCATTGTGTTAATAATCATAAGCTAGTAAAGTTATTTCACAAAAATCTCAATAATAAATTTCTATCAAAATTAATAATAACGATAACGTGCACACTCTCTTAGCCCCGCACTAGGGAAACCCTGTATCGCGGGTGCCATGGACGTGGACGTGCCATAGACAACCACAAATGACACCTAAACTCACGAGATAAATAAATATAGGCCATACAAATATTTCTCCCTGCCCGGGATTTGCTCCCGGGACCTCTGCGTAGCAGTCCAATATTGTAACTGTTCGGCCGCAGATGTAGTTAAAAAGATTAAAAAGATTTCAGTTTTTTTACATAAGACGTACCTCATACAATTCGGGCCAAAACTGAACACCTCCCTGACTTTCTGGTAAAAAACACTGTGACCTTTAAGGTACAATCAATCAACAAATCAATTTACATAATCCCGAAACGAAGTGTGAAAGAAAATTTATGGCTAACTTAATGAACTTAATGTAAATTGTGTAACATAATTACATTTATCAATAAATTAGTGACAATAAAAATTTCTAGTAAAATTAACTTTGTGACATTAAAACTTGATTACGGTACTTATAATAAATAAAATCTATGGACCATTATGTTATACTTTCTATTATTTTATACATATAAATAAGACAAGTGTGGTAACTCCATACAAACGTAGCAGCGTGCTTTGTATGTGTGCGCGAACGCCGCGTGCCTTATACGGACGCACACATTCGCATAATCTCTCGATGCATTCGCGAATAAAATGAAATAAAAGAAATAAAACGAATAAAACCTAATACAGAATAAAAGCTAGTTTTCTTTGAGAGATCAAATACAACGTTGTCTTTTCGCTTCTTAATACACGTATATACTTAAACACGGGTTGTAGTTAGTTTCCTGACAAATTACACAGTTTTAAAATTATACCTACTCAAACTTTCGTAATTGTCGACCTGAAAATGCTTTCCTGCTAGCTAAAGCATCCGTTTATTCTTTATTACCCTTGGAATAAAAACGTAAATAGTAAAACATACATACGATACGATTTCGCATAACAATGAGAGTGTTGAATCAATCACTTGGGAACATTGACTTATAATTATATGGACGTCGGGTCCGCGCTAAAAAGTGTCCGAACTTATAGGGCGTTAAAATCGTATACAGAGCGTCATTCACGCTTTAGTCTTCGTTTGTTCGACTGACAGCGAAGCAAGCAAAATTAGACAGTACTGCGATGACATTACAATTTAAATTCAACGTTTTAGCTTTTTCATATTCCTTTACATGTCACTACGTTGAAATAGGTTGACTTGGGACATTTTTTTCGTGGTTTTTGTATTAGACCCGTCGTCCATTTATTTCTAAGTCAATGCTTGGGAAAGTAAAATTGAGGATATAGACAGATTAGTAAACGTAGTGAAAACAGGATTCCTAAAAACTTTCAAGATAGAAAAAAAATACAAACTGACTTCGAGATTTTACAAGAAAACCGCTGTATTCAATACGCGCTTTATATATACCAATGATTTATTTTTATATCAACAGAACTAAACAGAACACGTATAGCATACGATGTACATTTTTCAAATAGCTTTAATTTTGTTTGTAAAAAAAGAAATTTCCAAATAAAGTGTCCCTGCTGCTCGACACAATGAAAATGAACCGTGTTAGTACGGGAAAAAATTGAATTCGAGCTTAGGTAATATCGGCTCTTGAACATAAAAAAGTAACCGATTAATTTCGTTCGTAGAATCTTAAAGCCTCTCCTGATACGTTGTCAGATGTTGCCATATACACCAAAGGTGTGAAATATATAAAAGAATAATCAAGCTTAGACTCAAATCTGAATTTCATAGGAAAGCAAATTACACTTAAAACCATCAAATTGATTAAACTCTACCACTCATTTGTAAGGCAGATTCCCTTGAGAAGAACGAGTAAGAAACTCTAGCGGTTGCTCCTTATAAATAAACATTTGTACACATTTACTATGTTTATTTCGGAGATCATAAATCATGACAACCTGCAACAGCTAAACTGATTACTACGGTAGGTTTTGTCAGCCAAGTACGCAAAACTAAATTTAGTGTTTAATTGTAGAATACCTTTAGTGTAAAGTTTATGTTTCAATATAGTTTTAAACCTCGTAAATGGTATTTTGGAAGCGTCTACA